TTTTTTAATATTTTATAATATTATTAAAATTTTATAATTTTAATTTCTATAATTTTATCTTATTTTTTATTATATAAGTATAATTTAAATTATTTATTTTATAATTAAATTAACTTTTTTAAAAAAATTTATGAGTTTACATAAAAAAATGTATTGAAACCTCTCAATCTACCGTAGCAACTCCCAACTCAAATTCACATTACTCTTGAACTAAAATTAGTCTCTAAATTAATGAATCGTATGATATTATTGTTTTGGTGGATAAGGATGACTCAATTATTACTTCTCAGGTGAGAAGCCTTGACTCAGACATAATATGTGGAGAAGATTTTTATTGGACCGATGTTAGATTGTTTGTGACATACATATGTAAGGGTCAAAAAAGAATTTAGTGTGGTTAAGTTCAAGGAGAAATGCTAGAATCAAGATAGTTAAGCCAATAATTTTAAAGATAACAAACAATTTGACTTATGACAAATGTGTTTCTATCAATGAATTTGAAAAAAAAAATACAATTCAACATCATTTTTGTGTTATCTTTTTGTGATTTATAAAAAAAAGTTAATTGTATAATTGATTTTAAAATTTCTTTCAAATTTTTAACTTAAAAAATTCTCACTTTTTTATGTTATCTTTCTCGTATAAATTTTTTATTAATAAGTACCGGTATAACAATGTTTACTAGGAAACTAATTGAAATATTTATTTCATATTCAATTACTAAATTCAACATTTTTAATTGAAAAAAAAAATCAGCATTTTCAACTCAAGGTATCTAGAAAAATATCTTGTTTGATGAAAGAGAAAGATGTGTTGTTGCTCAAAGAAGATTTGAAGCAAAATTCACTATAAAAGAAGGATAAATATTTAATTCAAATATGACCCAAAGCTTCAAAGGATGCAATTTTTGAGAGTTTGAGACGAACAGTTTTTGTTTACGAACTAAAGATACTTATAATGAGTATTAAAGTTATTCATGAAAAAGGAAAATAATTCAACCAAAAATTCAATGGTATATGTTGAATATCATTGTTCAAAAGTTTGTTAATTGCTACAAAAGAGAAGTTCAAATGAAGATTGGTAGTGGTATCGTGACATATGATTGACGAATATAATAATTTTTCTCAAAACAAAGATAGATAATTTAGAATAAAATATCTATAGAGATTATTGAAAGAAAAATCTAATTGGGTGGATGAATCATTTGAATGTTCTTGATAAAAGAAATACTTTTAAGACATGCAAGTCATATGCAAAAGTGGATACATCAACAAATAACAAATACAACCTACCATCACCTACTTTGATTCATCCATCATGTAAAAAATGCATTAAAAAAAGGAAGGCAAAAACAAAACCAAATGTTAGAGGGTCTTTTAATGATGTTGAGTTTATTGCAATACAAGTCAATAATAGTTTTTCTGATAGAATTGGCACATGTTATGGATCAACAAACCAAGTTGAAGGAAAAATAATTAAAGTCATGGTGGAAAAAAAATTAATGTGGTGATCATGAAATATTATTAAATTCCATTATAACTTTAAATTTAAAGGTAATAACATATAAAAAAAGTAGGAAACTTAATTACATTTATTTGTAAATTTTATAGAATTACGCCATTGGAGAGATTGAGGAGAAAAAGAGGGATAATAGAGAAAGATAGGAAAAAGAGGAAGAGAGTGAAACTGAAATGTGAGAAACTCTCCTGTTAAAATCAAATCAAACTATTCGATTTGATTGAGAACCTAACATCACGTTCAAACCAATTTATTTAAACTCGAAAACTATACTAGCAAAGAACCATTGTGAACTATGGTAAACTAGTTCAAAATTAATTGGGCATAATCAATTACAAACATATTCAATATTTTTATATTTGAAAATATTATTTTTATCTTGCATAAACTCTCTTTCATTTCTTAATAACATTTGGGCTATTAAAAGTTTTATATGAAACAATAAGTTTTCACCCAATAAAACATTTATAAGTGAATTAATAAAAAAAATTACAAAACAATGATTTTTATGTTATTTGTTGTTTAAAATTGTTTAATATATTATATTAAAATTGAAGATAATAGTATTTAAATATTACCGATTAACAATCATTAAACCTTGTATTTTCTTTAACTATAATGGTCATGTTTTCAAAATCTTGGTGGGAAGAGAGATGGGGGAGAATCGTTTTGTTTTTTTTCTTAACACTCCTTCACCCAACGTTCAAAAAAAACTATTTTTCCTTTGTAAAAAAATAATATGTTTAATTTTTAAAAGTTTAACCCAAATTCTATTTTTTAAAAATTTGGAACAATTATTACCTTAGATTTTTGACTAGTGTATAAATGAAATATTGTTAAATAAATATTTTGTTTTTGCCAATAATAAAATATCGGGCTCCTGGGCCAGCTATACATATCAGTCATGTCTCTTACGTTACTACAGGTTTTTGTTTTTGGGCCCAATGACGCATTTAGTTACATTAAAGGTCCACCGCAAGCAGATTCTAAGGGTGATCAAAAATCAAGTTGGGTTGGGTTTAATTGAGCCAGATTTAGTGTAAAATTACGATTTTAAGTTGGATATTACAACGCATAAAAATAGCTCTGATTACAGTCTTGAACCTAATTGGCCAAGTTTACTGGTACTATATATAACTATAAAATGATTATTAGCAGTAATTAATATAATACATATATACCGTTAAAGCGACAATACATCAATGCAGTCCATATAATATCAATTTTGGTTACAAAATATAACCAGTCAGAAATATAAATTTAATCGTGAAAATAATGTAATTTTGCATCTTCTTGAATTACATCATTCAATTATAGTTCCTCATATTGAAAAAACATAGTTACATTAAACCACCACGACACCACCTCCTCTTATTGAGTTTGGGTAATGAAATGAAAATTGAAAGTCATCCATAGTCAATAAAATCTATTTATCTATCTGTCCTTATAAAATTATAATTATAAATATTTCTAAATATATAAACTAGTAGTAAAATATAAAGGAAAGGAAAATTCTATATTGCTCCTTTACTTTTAAAAACACGTCTATTTTAATTTTAATTTTATCCATTTTATAAATAGAATTTTAAATTGAAGCTAGATCTATAAATAAGTTATGAGAATTAAGTTCATTCATTACTTTCTTACTAAGGTTAGTTTGGCTAATAATATCAACTCAAATATTAATTACATACACAATTTAAAAAGGAAAAAGTGATTATTTTTTGTAACATATTTTATAATTTTTTTATAAAATATTAATTTCATTTTTCATTTATTGTCTCTATTAAAATTTGTGAATATATATGTTTTTATTATTAAATAATTTAAAAGATTGATAAATAAATAATCTCTCTCTTATTTCTTAAATTGACCATTTGTCATCTACTCATTATTATTAATATTGATGTATAAATTTTGACATAGGATAATATCTATTACAAAAAATGTTCCATATAGTAACATACAAAAAGTGTCACTATAGGTATAATATATGTAGGTATATACCTATTTGACATATAGTTACATATAATTTTAGTGTTGATTTTGAATGAGATTTAACAACATATTTTGTGTGTCACTATAGTCTATACCTACATTTTTTAACAATATACCAACATATATTATATTTATTGTGTGGGTAAAAGTAGTTTTTAGTGACACATATTGTGTCTCTATAAGTGTGTGTCACTATAGGGTGTGTTTCACTATATGACAATTTTTTTGTAGTGTCTTTTCTTCTCTCAGAACAATTTAATAATAAATATAAAATAAAATTGGTACATTGTATTTTAAAAAAATAATAAAATAAACTGATACAACTATTTATAAAATATTTAACTGATTAAATTTCAATTAAATTCAAATTTGTAATTTTAATTATAGTGAGTTAGAATTTAAACCATGACTATAATTCTTTTAATCCAATATATCTAATTACAATTTGTCATTAGTTATGTTTAATTCATTTCACG